CCTCAGCCTCAAGCCTGCCTCAGCCTCAGACCTCACAGTTGGCTACGGGCAATCAAAATGTGGCCCGGGAATGGAGTTCTGGGAACTCGAAGAGCACGAAGTGGCCTACAGTTGGCTCCGGGCATTCAAAATGTAGCCCGGGAATGGAGTTCTGGGAACTCGAAGAGCACGAAGTGGCCTACAGTTGGCTCCGGGCATCCAAAATGTGGCCCGGGAATGGAGTTCTGGGAAATCGAAGAGCACGAAGTGGCCTCCAGTTGGCTCCGGGCATCCAAAATGTGGCCCGGGAATGGAGTTCTGGGAAGTCGAAGAGCACGAAGTGGCCTACAGTTGGCTCCGGGCATCCAAAATGTGGCCCGGGAATGGAGTTCTGGGAAGTCGAAGAGCACGAAGTGGCCTACAGTTGGCTCCGGGCATTCAAAATGTGGCCCGGGAATGGAGTTCTGGAGGTCGAAGAGCACGAAGTGTGTGACTGTTTGCGAAAAACGAGTTCGGACCCAGCTCCCCGGATGCCGCCCGGACCCCCCTGTGGAGTCATCTGCTGCTCGTTTTTGACTCTACTAGAAACCTATCAGTCTTCGCTGTTAGGTAATAAAAGTACCAGGCGTGCCTGGCACGCTTGGGTCACAGGGGTGCCTCGCGCGCGTGGCGCGACTGGCACGCGTGGCGCACCTCGCCCCAGCGTCGCGCACATGGGCTCGGTATTGGCTCCCAGCCGCTGTCCATCCGGAGACGACCGCTGAACATGCAGAGACTCGGGTGTTGCTTTGTGTTGGGAGGGCGGGTGGGAGTGTGCTAGACAGCTTGCTATCTAGGAGGGTGCCTTGAACCCTCCCCCGAACCCCTCCCCTGGAAATGGACGGGGGGGGGGGGAGCGAGGCGCTGGAGCGTCCAAGATGGCCCAAGACGGCTCCAAGAGGGCCCCTGGGAGCCCAAGATGAGCTCCAATATGGCTCAAGATAGCACAAAATGCCTCAAGATGGTTTTCAAGATGCCCCAAGAGGTCCCACGAACGCTCCAAGACGACCCCCCGGGGCTTCCGAGACCTCCAAGGAGTTCCCCAAGAGGCCAGAATCTTTCAAAAACCAAAGGAAAGCAATGAGTTGAGGTTTCTCGCCCTTTCGCTTCTGATGGCCATCCGATGCCTCAAGACGGCTCCAAGACGGCCCAAGAGGGCCCCAGGAGGGGCCCAAGAGAGCCCCAAGACGGCCCGAAGAGCGCCCAAGCGCGCCCCCAGGAGCGCACCGAGAGCGCACCAAGAGGCGACTTTGGGGGCTCCGAGGGGGAACCCTGCTCGAAGCCCCCCTCTCGTTTGATCGATGTCATCCGAGATGGCCTCAAGAGCGCCCCCATCAAGCCCCCAAGAGCGCCCCGAGATGGCCCCGAGAGGCGCCCAGACGGCCCCAACAGGCGCCCAAGATGCCTCCAAGAGGCTCCCAACCCCTTTTTTCATCACTGAGAGAACCGCAGGCTGGGGCAGTGCAAAAGGAGGGCGATCGGAAGGAGGCTCGAAGGAGGGAAAGTCGGGGATGGATCCGTAGATCCGCTTATACCACAACGCACGGACACGGCTTGCATGGACCCTGATAGCCACAAGCTCACAAAAGAAGAGCGTTATGAACCGACGCGTCTTCAGGCGTCGGCGAACGCGTGTAAACGCAATTTCCCGGGCGTCAGCCAAACCTTCCATACTCTATGCCAGCCCGTCCCTTACCACGGCTGTTGCACCAGCCTCGTGCCAAGCGCGAGGAGGAAGGGGAAGGCGAGGGAAGAGGAGGAGGAGGAGGAGGAGGAGGAGGAAGAGGAGGATTCGACCCTGACTCTCAGGCTCTGCCAACTCTAGGCGAAACGTGCCACGCAACCACCACTGCACGTGTAGTTCAGCTCGGGGGAAATGTACAAGAAAGGGCGGACCCCCCTGCTGCCTGTTCTCCCCCATCCAACAGACCCTCGCAGCAGCCCCTGTACCAAAGGCCCAGCACGTCCTAGCGGCCGTGCCACGCCTGGCTGCCTGCCACGCCGGAGGTGGAAGTGAAGAGAAGAGGTGCACAGGAGAGGCATGTAGTCGACCTTGACTGCCTCGGGCCGGCGGGATCAAAAAGCAGTCAAGGCGGCGCGCAGATAACTGTTTTTTTCAACCGTCCTTCCCCCACTTCACCACTGCATCCCCTGTCTGTCCTTCCGGGAGAAGGGGAAATCACGAGTTCGGGAAGGCTTGATCCGGATTCAACACTCCGTTGGGCGAGCATAGAAAGCATCCACCATGGGAAAAGCCAACTCCAGATTAAACCTCTCTCGTGGACGCCGAGCGTCGAAGGGGTTCACCCTGAGGGTTAGCAACAAATGAAGCCCTTCTCGTGGACGCCCCCCTGTATCCGCGAACGGGCAGGGAAACCATAAATCTAGAGTAAACCCTTCTTGATTCGACACTTCCTTGAGGGCCGAGGCGGAGAAGGTGGAGAGCGAAAGCAAGAAAGAGAGAGCGAGAAAGAGAGAGAGAGAGAAAGGAAAAAAGAGAGAGAGAGAGAGAGGGACAGAAACGTGAAGACAAGAATTGAGAGTGAGCGAGAGACAGAAAGACAGAGACAGAGAAAGAGAGAACAACAGACAGAAAGAAAAAGAGAGAGAGAGAGACGGGGATAAGAAGAAGAAAAGAAAAACGACGTATATGTAAACATGCATATGAAAGATGGAAAGAAAGAGGGAAATAAAGAAAGAAAGAACGAGAGCGAGAACAACGACCATGACTAACTACAACAACACCAGGAGGAGGGAGAGATGGAGAGCGAGGGGTGCAGAGTGAGAGGGGAGTGGGTGGGGGAGTCGCAGTCGCGGGGTATAAAGAGCTGGCGGTGGTAGCCTCGATCCAGGCGTGATGACCCCGAACCCGTCGGCGGCC